AATTATTATTTTTATTTTGAATTTAAAAGTTTTGATGCATGTGTTTATACTTTGTGATGAAATCAATGTTATTGCTATATTTTAATGCAGACCTCAAGTTTCATCTGCGCTTTACTTTAAGCACAACACTGCATTAGGGCCGCCTTACCGAGTTCTGGTTGATACTAACTTCATCAATTTCTCCATTCAAAATAAAGTGAGTTCTCTAAGTTTCTTCTTTTTCTCATTTGATCATATACTTTGATTGGGACGTTTCTATACCACTGAATGAGAGAGAATGAGGTCAATGGAGCATTTGTATTCAACAAGAGAGAAAAATAGCTATCAGTTGCTTGCTGTATTGAACTGGGATTGCAAATTCATATTTTCATTTTACACAATCAGAAGAGTTGAAGCTGCATGCATGAAAAGAGAAATGGAGATAAGGATTTGACCCCTAAGATACATGTCCGTATCTGACACCTGTTTTCAAGTCCGAGAAACATAATTCTTCACAGTGATGGCAGTGACTTGCCTTCTGTAGGAAAAAAATTGGGCATAATCTTCTTTGGATGATTTATAATTGAGGATGTTGCACAGTTTGAAAACTCACATTGTTTAAATGTTTAATGCGGTGTGCCAAACTTTATGCTTATCCTTTCCTTTGTTTTTGTTTTTTGGTATCCTTGGTCTTTTGGATTATGTGGTTGATAAGAGTAAGACTTTACCTTCCAAAATACTACTTCGAAAAAAAAGGCACCCAAGATGGTGGCTAACACGGAGAACAAACAAATGGAAGGGAATTTTCATTTTTTCAGTTCGTCACATGAAGAAATATGTTTCCTATAGCATTACTGTTGTACTGAATTGAATGCAATGACTGATTTTTCTTCTGTCGATCTTCTTTTATAATATTAAAAATCTTGTGCAGTTGGATTTGGAGACTGGAATGATGAACTGCTTATATGCAAAATGTAAGTTCTGTTGCAGCTTTTTCTTCTTGAATTTTGATAATCTTCTATGCTGCATGTCTTTATTAATCATTTTGAGCAAGTGATTTATAAGGTTGTTGGTTGTTTCTGGGTTCCTGTTCCTTATTTTGTGGGAGATACATGATTATCTTCTCGTGAATGCATTTTCTGCAACTACTGTTTGTTCAGTAAAAGAATTATAGAGTTCACTTTACTTTTAGAATGTCCCTGTAATAACAGTAATATTATAGTTAGAAAATTGTTTTACTGATTTTTGGTTTTAAATTCTACTCTTTTATTATAATGTATTGTGATGGTAAGCCTGCTATGCTTCTTGCTGGCTATGAATAGAGAGTTTCGCGACTCATCTGCTAACAGTGAATTCTGTCGTCCTTTTATTTGACTTGTTATCAAACTCTTGTATCACCATTTATTTCATTCTCCCAATCTTTTCTAGGCACTCCTTGTATCACGGACTGTGTAATGGCTGAGCTTGAGAAGTTGGGTCAGAAATACCGAGTTGCTCTGAGGTATGTTCTTTTGTTCTTTTTTGATCACTACTGATGAAGATGTAGTTTGAGCTGTTTAAAAACTTTTGGGGTTATATACATTATATTATCTAATGGGCTAAGCAAATTTTATGCAATACAGGTTTGGGCACTTCAAACAATGATTTTGTGAAACTATATTGATAATTGCTGTTATATCTGTAACCTTTTTATGCAGTGCAAAGGATGAACATGATAAGATCCTGAATGTTTGATTGTATTTTATCGCTGATTTTCTAGTACTTGAATGCAAATTTCTGGAATATGGATTGAATTTATGAATGAAAAGTTACTATAAATATATGACGCTGTCATTGAAATGCAGAATGGAAATTAACTACAAATTGGAAGGCATTCGAAAGGCCATCCACTTTCCCTCACTTAATTCTCAATATCTGAATTATTTTAACAGACTCCCCTCCCTTACATTTATTATAGGCCCTCACCTTTATTCTAGAAAGATCCTAAAATACCCTCCCCCTTAACAACTATACAACTTTATAATTCAGCAACCAATCTTGTAACCAGAAAAAATCTCCTGCTCTTCTAGTGGATGCATCACTGCTTTTCTCGATCGTCGTCAAGCATATGTAAAATGTATAGGGGGCCTATCAGAATACACATAAAGCAATGATTTTGTTCAAGTAGTTCATTTCATACATCTCTCTGTCTGTGCGCATGTATGTGTGAGCGTTTGTGAGAGAGAAGAATGCTCGTCTGATTTTTTTTTGATTCACTCTGTGATGGATGTGCTTTTTCAGCTCAGGTTTATCGTGAAAGAAGATGTGGATTTATGTATATAATGAAGATAATAGTCAGTGCAGGTTACAATGATCCAAGCATTATAGTATATAGTTGAGAATAATTGAGTTTTGCAGTTTTCTTAGATTTCCTCTGATTTATCCTTCTTTATTTATCTTTTTGGGCTCATTGTGCCTTTATATTTATATATACATCTATAGATAAAATTAGCTTAACAAGGACCTCAATTCTTGTACTTACAAATGCCAGAAACTGTATCAAATTTTTAACAAACATGCAATTGATGTCCTACTTGTCAGTTGTCGAGATGGGGTTTCTTTAACTGAAATGGATGGATATAACTTTTTTGCTGTTAATGGTGATTATTTGGCTCGCAATATGTATTTTGGAACTTGTACAAGAGGGAAGGATAGACAAAATTAACAGGGCATATGATAGTTGCTAAGAATATGGTTGCTTTGGATCTTCTAGTAGGTGTAGTATGATGAATCGAATGGAGTGGCATAAAGGGATTCACAAAACCGGCCCCAAATTTCTCATGGTTAAAAGGACCTGTTTTTTTTTGTTATGCTTTCTTTGAAAATTTCCTTCTTTTTACTTTTGCTGCAATTTTATTCCCATAGTCTTGTGATGATAAATCGCTATAGCGATGAAATCCTCTTCTCTTTGCTTATATCAACGACTTCTCTGTGTTCATTACTTCTTCTCTTTCTTGTGAATAGAATTGCTAAGGATCCTCGATTTGAAAGGCTTCCCTGTACTCATAAGGGAACCTATGCTGATGATTGTCTTGTCGACAGGGTTACACAGGTATGATTTAAAGTCAGCTGCTGACTGCTGTTGTATTTTTGTCTTCCTGGACATGAGATTCTAAACAATAAAAATAAACAATTTTCACTTCATTCTGTTTTCTAACTTCCATGTTTTATAAAGTGCTAAAAAGCATGAACTCACCTGCTTCTACATGTTTCTCTATGTCCTGTGGTATTTAGATTTCCTGGGTAGATAGTACTCTCAATATGAATTTTACCGAACAAAGTTTGTTTACAAATAATTTAAATGATTGCTCTTCGTGACAATAAAACAGCACAAATGTTACATTGTTGCAACCTGTGATCGAGACTTAAAGCGAAGAATTCGGAAGGTAAGTATTAATTTTCCTGCAAAAGGTAGTGTTATTTCCTTTCAGTAGAAACTTAACATTGATATTTATGATCAGATTCCGGGTGTACCAATCATGTATATTACTCAACACAAGTATTCTATTGAACGGCTACCTGAAGCAACAATTGGTGGAGGTAGGATAAAATCTCTATGTTATGGACCCTTCCACTCCATCGTTCCTTCAAACTTCTGTTTTCCTTTTTAATGTGATAGTTAACTTAGTCATGGTCCATTTTTGTGCAGCTCCAAGAATGTGATGCTGAGGTTTTAAAGTGTGCAAGTCATCAGTTTGCCAGAAAAATAGGTTGAGGACATCGGTAAGGTTGGCCTCAAAGAGGAAGAAGCCACTTATCCCAATGGTTGGGTCCCAACACCAGTGGGGGGCATTTTTGAACTTTACTTCTACCAAGCTCTCTTCAAACTTGTTATTTGGTGGTGGTTAAAGAGTGTTTATTTTAGTTTATGTAATATCCAATTCAGATCTGAAACAAGATGATACGAGGCAGTAATGTGTTTCTATTAAGCAAATTTAAGGCTATTTAGATGCTCCATAGAATCAAAAGCCAGCTGTATGAATTGCCTTGGTTTTGTTTGTTTTGTTGAATGCTTAAAGCTTAGCAATTCCTATTTGTATACCGTTCTATCGCTTCTGCTATAGGGTGTAATTCAACAAAGATGTGTAGCATAAATTACTAAGGGTGTTGGACTAATGGTGCATAGAATGGTGAAAGTTGCATTCGAGTAGTTCGATTCAGTTTGTTTTAGTGAGTGTCATTTTGTGGAAAACTAATTTCGATGATGTTGGTGTGTGAACAAATGGATGAAACAGTTTCCAGAGGGGAATATATGAATGGAGTGCCCGATTCTTGGAGCACCTTCGTGTGTTGAGAAAGCCAGTTTTATAACCCTATGTTTGGCATATAATCGATTTTTATTTTTTTTAGCACAAGAATAATTTTTAAGGGGCCATGGAGCCCAAAAAATAATGTATCTTGCTACATGTACATCAATGATTACAAAATATTACATAAAATACAGTCAACTTTTTCATTCTTCCTTCACGTCATATTATGGAACCCTTTATGTACAATTTTGATGTACAAGTAGCAAAATTCAAAAATAATAATTGTAAACAGTTTATTTACTTATATAACAATACAAGGAAAATTAGAACAAAAAATTGTACAAACATATATTAGAATCTCATTACAAATCAGTGCTGAAAGAATAAAGTACTTGGCAGCTCGCTCCTCTCTTACGCTACTACAAAGCCATGTACAAGGTTTTCATCTCACACAACTCCTAAATAATAAAAGAAACAACTAATCTTCATTCATTTTTCAAACAAAAGTTTCATTTGATATAAACGTATTCTACCAGCACCATTTACAAGTCAAAAAATAAGGTAAAGGCCAGAAAAATGTAATACATTTTTCAGGTCAGAAGGTTGCTAAGACATACAAGATCTCCAATACGCAAAATCTAGTTGATTAAAAATTAAAAAATGGTGTAAGAAGGATTAAATTCATTGAATTAAGTGATTTATCTGGATGATTAAATAATCACAAGATCGATTCTATGCAAGAGCTGTTGAATTTGCCTCCATCTGCTTCGGCACAGACTTCACATACTTACCTATCGATTTTTGATGTGTTCGGTTCCTAATCCGTTGGATTTTATCTTTACTTTGTTGTCTCTTCTTTTCCTTTTCTTTATTTCTCAGGTTCCTCTCCTTTTCGTACATACCTTGCCAGAAGACCTCGCCTGTTGAAGGCCACAGCCACCTCCTCTTTGGGCGGTCGGAATCAGCCTCCTCAGCCAGGTCCTCATCCATGCTCTTGAGAGTGCTATACTGGAACCACCTAACCCACATTTGACCTCTCCGGCTTCTCAACTCGTGTTGTTCTTGCATAAAACCTGTGTTTGGGTCCACATACACCATTCTTCTCGCGCTGTGGTATGCCCAAACATTTACAAGCAACTCGAGCAAACGAGAGTAGCAATGTTTGTCCTGCCAATCAATGTCATAATTGTGAGTCACAGATAAGCTATCATCTAGAAAAAGAATAGGTACACAAATATTTCACAAGTCAATGGAAATTAAGTTATTATTGTCTTTTCGGGTTAGCAGATAAATAAAGTGACTATCATCTCCAAACTTCTTGCATTTTAGCGACCATATGACTCAACATGTCCTAAATTTTTAGCATTTGCACTCACAAAGATATTTCCAAAACTGTAGTTTGAAACCAACATTACAGAGGGAGGGAGTTACCTTGGACAAACTCAGATAACAATGCCCGGTTTTCTGGTGCTCGTCGTAGAATTGTGCGTCAAGTGCATTCACAAACATTCTGTGAATTAAAAGTTGATTCCAAGTTAACAATTCTGTGATTAAGCAATCTCTTTGAGACCAAAGAATCAAAGGGTTAATATTACAATTACTAAAACCAGACGCACAATCAGGTTGCCTGTAAGCAGGCAAAACCGGCAATATCAAGCTGGTTTCCATTACTCCATTTGATTGGTTAATATAGAAATCAGTCAAAACCTGCCTAAACTGGTCAACCCCGAAATTTCTGGGGTCAATAACCGATCGAGTTCTGATAACTACCCTTAATATAAACTGTGTATAGAGCTATGGTAAAGGTTCAAACCTTGAGAACATAACAAACTCTAGGAAAGACCGAGTGGGCAGAACCCAGCAATGCATGACAGACCAAGAGTCTTCAACTATCGGCATCACGGGAAGAGAAAAGTTATGCTTTATGCCATACATCTTCTTAAGAGCCTCGGAGAATGCGACCCTAAACATAAGAAACAAGACAAATCAGGTCTAAAAGCCATCTGAAACTTTTTTGGACAGTGATAAAAAGAAGAAATTCATGAAGGACAACTGGAAATGAAATGATTATATTAACATTATGACTCTTCTTACTGGCAATTCCCAGCATTTATAGCATCACAGAAGGACCAGAAATCCTGTTTCAGTGGGTTTCTTGGGTCCCTGTCTAAACGGGCCCAAAAGTATAGACTGTCACCATGTCTTCGTGATTCGATAGCATCCAACAGCAATCTTTCAGCAGACTTGGACAAAGATACCTGGCAAAATCCAAATTTTAAATATGAAACAACATTTCTCAAGGAAAAAACACACGATCACCACATATATTGTTTCAATATGCAAACCTGATGCTCAAGGGAAGAAGTAATATATAAATAAACTTGCTGGGTAAGATTAAAAATAAATAATAGTTAATTTAAGTATTTTTATGTGAAACAAATACGTTGTCCAAATATGATAAAACAACATACTTTTCTCTCAAGGCACAAAAATTCGCTTATTTTGGAAGTAATCCTAGCCTTACAGTCAAACTAATACCAATTTTCACCCACCAAAAAATTATATATTTTAATACTTCTATACTTAACATTAATTTATTTATAAGTCAATTTTTTAAGCTTAGCCAAACATGTTCTCATCTCAATCTGTAAGAACAGAACCACAAAGGATTATGTACCTTCCTTGCTGTGGCTCTCCAAGATTGGAATCCTATCCAAGCATTTCTGTGAATGCGGTCAATTCGGTTTGCAATCGCAAACAAGGCTCCATATTCTCCCAAGACATCTCGATAATAAGGGTTATTTAATAGGGGAAGACGAGAAGGCAAATCAACATCATCAGCTCCAGGTCTACGGCCTTTAGTGGACTACAATCACCCAGACCATGCATCCATGTTAGATTGAAGAGAGTAGATATTTTATAAACTTGGAGAAAATAAAATGCTTCATATATCTCTTAAAAAGATGCTGAAGCAATTATGTGACTACCAATAAGCAAAATTTTAAACATTTTTTGACCAAATTTTTTTTTTGAAAAATTAAAAATTGCAAGGGATATAGCCAAAATAGTCAATAAGCAATGCAATGATAAATATAGGCACCTCATCATTTTCGAAGAACATGAAAGCAAACAACAGTGTTCTGGCCATGAAACAGAATACTTACCAGCCCAAGTCCGCGATATAGTGAAGTACGGTGCAAAAAGGGCCAAGTTCCTTCTCCAAAGTAAGGCTCATAGATACATAATGGCTGACCTGTCCTTTCGAGCTCTCCTTCATCTCTTTCATGCAACGTCTTGTCAGCCCTTCTCGCATTTCGATATACTTCCTCCCATGTTCCCCGAGGTTGATCAGTTCTGTCCTTCAACTGCATTATATTCCAAAGAAAAAGGAATTGCCAAAAAAAGAAGTAAGTTGCTTAGATCCTGTAAACTCTCACGCTTCAGCCTGTAAAAAGAGACAAAAACCGAGATCACTTGCCTCATCATCCTCTCTTTTTCTTCTTGTATTAGCCATTTCAATTTGTTTTTGCTCCACCCAGATACTATACAAAAAGGTATCATTTGTTGTAATGGACAACATAGAATTCTCCCAATGGGTATGGTCAAATTGCTTTTCAACTTTGTCCAAAATTTCCTGGATCATCCAGGTTTTATTCTGATAATGCGTATCCGCAATTGCTTCAAAGAGATGCCACTGCCATTCTGCTTTCAATTTGGTAAGCATCTCTTTGTCAGTCTCAGGAACAGCAACTTCAGATGGGAATGTGAGAATGTTTTCCAACAGTGAAATATATCCTGCCTTACTTTCCGAAACCATAAGGTTTCTAGCCGTACCTCTTCCAAGTGATGCAGCATTGAGGGCTAAAAGAGAGAGTTTTCCATGTGAGATCATTTGAAACATGATCTGAGTCAGGACCCTAATATCGTCCTTTGGAAAAAGATACCCATTCACCCTGTCATCAATCTAGAAGTTGTAGCCAGCTCAGTCAGTCAAATTGAAAATGAAAAACTGCAGTAAAAAGCAAAAAAATTGAATCAAGATTTTCACGATGTCCATGCATGTCAGGTAGTAAGAAGAGCTCAACAAAAGGATTCTGTAAAGTAAGTTTGCTTACATTTTAAAAAGGCTATCTCATGTGTAAATATTAAAGGTTGATTTAAAATGTAAACTTGTAAATCCTCTCCTAGACTTCATTGGGTTTCAGAGTTCTAGAAATGAGCCAAATTCACCCTATGAAGCTCTACCAAGAAACATGGCTTAGCTGAAGGAACAAGTTCGCACTGTTTAAATCCAAAATAACTGTTGAGCTTAGAAAATATTTTTGCATATGTAAACAATCCATGTAATCCCCATCTTCAAGACCCTACTCGATTTGAGTAATTCAAGATCAACTCAATGGGAGAAAAAGGCAAGTATTAGGCTTAATTTGATATATTTGTTAAACATAAGGACCCTCAATTTGAGCTAAAATGGGCTATGCCTTGATCGATTAATTAACAGATAAGTAGGTAGTATGTCTGCCTTTGCGTGCATGTGTGACTGCATGTACAAGCATGTTATTAGAAAATATATGGTAGGGATACCTACATATTTTCGGATCATCAATAGATCTGGTGCTATAACAGGTTTCCTTAAAAGCATGGCTTTTTGCAAAATGCCTGGAAAAGATAGCTCTTCAACGAAGGATCCATATATCACAACATCAACAATACTCAGTACAATGTTTGTATCTTCGTCAGCGGCAACATGCTTCACTGTTTCTTTTGGATATTTCAAGTTTAGCGCAATGTTCTACAGCAAAACATTTCGATATACCAGATCACAAGGAGATGCAAATTAGTTGATTGCTTCATGTCATCTTGCAAAATATCTAAATGTTTTAATTTAAGATACATTAATGAAGAAACTAGACGGGGGAATAAATTGCTGTACCTCCACAGTACTACTGTAGTTACCAGCTAAATCCCCAGTTAAAATGATGATTTTGAGATGAGAATTCAAATTGCCCGCACTTCGGAAATCCGCAAAAACTGGATACAAAGCCTGCAAAACTAAGGCATGCTCCAGCCAGAGACCTTTATACATAAGTTGACTTCCAACAATAGCAACAACAAAATCGTCATGCCCATACTCCAACTTCATACGCAGACTGTCTTTGTGCAAATCCAAAAATTTATCAGCCTCCCAGGCTTCTGCAGGAGACCCTGGAATAACAATGTAGTTTCCCGGATCACACACCGAATAAGTCATCTAAAAGAAGTATAAACAGAGAGTGTTAGTTATCAAGATGGCTGTATTGAACAGTGTTGGGAAATATGAAGTCTAAAATCATTTTATTTATGAACATCAGATATAATAACATTCAGCAAACCCATGGATATTTCAGACTTTAGTCTTAAAAGGCATAAATAAATAGGGAGAACTCTCATACATTGCAACCTAAATGGGGTAACTATAGATTACAAATACACATGTTGTATGACTGCAAATGTGTTGTCCTCTCATCAAATCTTAGAGACAAACAAAAAAACCCGGGGGGGGGGGGGGGNTTCTACTGTAATTGAAGATAAGGAACAAACTTCTATATCCTTTTCTATTTTTAGTCTATGGCATCGGCTCATTTTCTTTCCATCAGCATCCCATCAGAGGTACAAAATTTAAGTCCAAAAAGGGCAACGACACAGTGCTATTTTCTTCCTCTGAAGCGAAAAGAGAAATATGCATAGTGCACATGCGAAGCTACTAATGTATAACATTTCATTAACAGAGAGACATTGTACATAATAATAATAATAAGCCCGCATATCCAAACAAAACATGTAACCAAGAATGAAATTCTGCAATTGATAAATACCGGCATAATGTAGTTTGGGAAGACCACAGCAGTGGCCCTGCTGAAGATTTTTCTCCAATTATTAACAAGCTCATTCTGACCACTTGATACATATTGCCTCAATCGAGCAGCAAGTATTTGTTCATGGATAGTCCATACGAGAGGTATATTTCTAAAAGGTTCCTGCATAAGACTGTAAAAAGTAAAATCTTTCATTTTATGGGACAAGGATACTGTAAACCACAAACGATAAAACTGTTACAAAGGAGAAGAACAAATAGGAACGGCCACAACTGAGTTTTGTAACTATAGCATATTAATGCATGTTCTACTAAGCAGAAAAAGTAAATTTACTTCAAATAATTTTGTTTTCCAAAAAAAAAAAAAATCAGTTTTAAGTTGCAAATAAGTTACTATTTTAAGAGAAATGCAATAGTTATTTTGAAGATAAGTAATATATTTCACTTAAAAGTAAGAAAAAGCATAATACATATCTAAACCCATTTGAAAACAAAATCTTTTAAGCTTAGCCAAACCTGCTCTTACTCATTTGTACAAAGGAATTGGACAATATGTCGACAGATGTGCAGACAAGAGAAAGGTTATATGGAAGATCAATAAAGATGATTAAGACACTTCATCTTATATTTCATAAGCTATCAAAATAGCGATACTTAACAGAATGTCATGTGATTGGCAACCCTTATGCATAGGAAAACTGTAGAGAACCCCAATTTAGCAAGAAGTTGAAGGCAATTCCTTGTACTAATCTTATACCCTTTAGTTAATTCTAGGTTGTGTGAGCAAAAAACACACGACAATAAATGTAAAAGATATTCCTACAGCATTAGCAAAATAACTAATGATGTGGTGGTTCATGCATGAACCCACTTAAGGGTTAACTGATCCACAAATCAGGACACAACAAAAAATTAGATACCATACAGTTGCTTCTTCAATTAGCATAGTGTTGCAACCCGCGAAGAATAAAAAAAGAGAACAAAGTTTTGGTCAAGTCTCTGCTGGATTACTAAACAAAGGAAGATGCTTACCAAGAAAAGATACCAACAGCTTTAAGAGAATTCACAAGTATGCCATTATAGCTGCAAATGACAAACATAAAAATGATAAGAATGGTTATCGCACTTTCAGCCTTAATCCTCAAGTCTCAATTTACTGTTTTATGAGACATAAATCCTAATCATTTCAATTATTTCAACAAATTAACTAGCCACCGTGGAGGAAAGCAATATCAACTAAGCAATCATGAAGATCAAGTAAACTGGCAAAAAGTATCTAAATTGATTTTTCAAAAAATGATCGCCTCAATATTAATAGTCAAATTGTTTAATCCCAGGCCTGATGAAGGATGTAAACAAATTCACTAACTGTTAAGTGAGTCAAAATGTTGAGTAATGAAGGATGAATCGAAAGGGCCTGAAATGACAGAAATAATCTACGAGGGTCATCCAAATGTGAAGTATAATTATACCCCAAAAAAGGATCTCAATTATCCAACACTCACTCATTTTTTACCAGGTCAAACAAGAGAACTATTAATACTACGTTTAAAATGAGCTTTCTTTCCACTTAAAGATTAATTATACTACATAAATTCAGATTTATTCTAATAGCACCACAAGGTAACAGAGAACATCAAAATTGAACCGGAATGTGATAGTGCAGGTAACAACAAAGATTCTCAATAATTGACATCTAACAATCAAATCACATTTTAGCATGAATTTTAATGATGTCATGGATTGAGAATGGTGTGCATACTTCAGCCAATCTACAGTGCATTTTATAGTTTCATTGGTTGCAATTACGTTGAGAGGAAGCCCAATATCTCTCCAAACAGTACCTACAGGGCCATCTTCCAGTGAGAATACCTGCAAACATGAGAACATGTATAATATTAAGAATAATATTCATGAGAAGTATCATTAAATCACAATTAATTGCTTCTGTGGTATTTAACAGTAAACCTTGAAGCACGTCTCAGGCATAAAAAAAAATGCAATAAAGCAAGGATATTTTGGACATGGCAAAGCATTTGCTTGATGGGGGCAGAGGAATATCTTTATGGCTGGACGGGAACTATTGATGCGTAAAGGATTTGTAACTTGGGCAAAATATCAGCAGGAATCATTTTAATCATTGCCCTCATCTTATGCTTGGAATTGCCATGTGAAAGGAGAGACGTGTATTGTGCATGTCTACAAATATAGAATCCTAGACCCTTTATAGGTTAGAACTTTATTTTCCTCAGAAGTTGCCCAATTGTCCGAACTCCTACCTTTTTATTCCTCCTAGAATGACAAAAAACAACTGCATTTCTGTCTTCCACATTGATCTTCATTGATCAAAAGGATGGCACTCCTCATGCTTATCCATCTTTATCTATCTAATGCTCTATATACGAAAGATACAAGCCGAACAGTACAAGCAGCTAGCAGATAATATGTAAGTAAAAAAAAAAAACCCAAATTGATTTGAAAGTCAAGCATCAAAAAGTCGATACCCTAAAATAGTTTAGTTGTTCTGTTCCTCTAAATTAATTTTGGCAAATGAGAAAATCAATCTAAAAATTGTACTTTGTTATATGTATCCAAGAAATAGTTTATATAAAATTTACCTGAATAGGTTACGTCCTATCTACTCGATGGAAATTGAATAAGAGTGTTCGATGATGTTTCCAGTCTCGTTTGGTCTGTCAACCAAATCCAAGCTCAAAATTTTACCTTGAGCGAACCATACCTCTCTCTCTCTCTCTCTCTCTCAAGTTTACTTTGTGAATTATTATGGATTAGGCCCTGATCCCTACTAACTAAGAGCAATAATAAATTGAATGAACTCAAAAACAAACAACTCAAATACATAAATTTATAGTGTGTTCAGCCTAAATATGATAAATGTGTGCAATTTCCACCTTAGTTTTCACAGCATACAAATGTTCTCACACCTCTCACACACTCAAAAAAATTTCCCTAGAAGAAACTTTTATAAAGTCTGAATATTAAGGTGACCGATACATGTATGGAATACCCTATGTTGTACCACATATTAGGCTCCACACAGTCCCACAAAATTTTCCCAACCATTAGCATTGAGCATAACAAATTAGCAATTAACATGCAACAATGGATATCGTATATTAGCTGTGCAACCCTGGAAATCACCTACATTCCATTTGCTCTTAAATACCAAAGGCACAACCAATGAACTGTGGAAAAAATAGTAAATTGCCTAAAGAACAATCATTACACAGGCCGAGACACAATGGCCAAGTGATCAACTAGAACTGAAACTAACCAACCTTTTCTCCCTTAATAAACACAACCAGAATTAAGAAATCCAAAGCACTGCTCAGTAATTACCTCAATTTCGTATCCAATCTCTCGCAATGCAGTAGCAACTGTAACCATCTGAATCTGATATGGATCAACCGACAAATCCCCGAAAACCTACAAGCAAAGATCAAAACATTTAAAAAGTAAGATGCAACTAAAAAACCCTCTTTTAAGAATTCTGCTCCAAGAACAAGCTACTTACTGAAATTCAAAAGAAATAAATCCCACACAAACCCAAGTATAATCAAATCAACCAAATAAATTTCGGCATATTAGAAATAACAAAATCAAGAAATCAGCACCAAACCAATTGAAACAAAAAATAGAAAGAAAAAAAAAATGCTTACCAGTGCAAGTTTGGGTTTTATATATCCAAATCCCAGTACTTTTCTCGTAGCAACAGTTTCATTGAACTCTCTAGCATCCCTTTGAAACTTGGCTAGTAATTTTGAAGGCTCAAACTTGATATTTTCGCCAAAATCCAACTCGTTCAAGAACTTCAAGGCCTCATAATTATAATTATTCGCAGATTTTTCTTCCTCCACAACGGATCCAGGTAAGAAGAACATCTGGAACAAAAAAACAAAGAAGAAGAAAACAGCAATTGTGCAAATCCATTGTAAATAGTCAATCTTCTTGAAGCGAACAAATCTTGCGAATCTTGATCTGGGTCTTTGACTAAATAATCCATTACTACTATTACTTCTCTCTGATGAAGAACGCAGCAAATGGAGATCCCTCTTCAATGGCATCCCAGTTTCGAGTGAACCCATTTACACTCCCATCAATGAAGTACCAAAATTTATTCACTTAATAGATATAAATCTGTGTACTATAGCTGTATGCATGCATAGATAAGTACAGAGATTAATTAATCGATTAACTTAGCGGAATGAAACGCTTTGTTCCTCTTTTGTCTATTTCTTTGTGTATGATTTCGTACGATAGAATGCAAAGAGATGCTTGTGAGTTTCTCTTTCTCAAGTAAATGCCGAAGAGAGAGAATATATGAATAGATTAAGGTTGAACAGCTGCTTTATTATCGTGGGAATAGTTGTCCTACATTGTCAACGATATTTGCACGAACAGTCTATACGCGTATCTGTATGACGGAAGAGAAGGAAACGAGTATTGTGTATGTCTATGATGAGTAAGGGGCATCACAGATGGCAAAAACAGCTCGTTTAACCCTATATGCGTGGTGTCACGTCCTCAGAAACTCATTCAACCCAATACCCATGGCGCCCCGCCTCATTTGAGACGAGAATTACCCGCCTAACAGAGTAAACGGGTTGGGAAGAGTGCAGAATTCATTACATCGAATCAAATACGAAGTTCGTACGGGACCATAATTCTAGCCCCACTACCCGCCTCATTTAAAATTAATTTCAAATTTAAGTTTTTTAACCAAACAAAAATAATAGATTTATTATCATTTTTAAAGAGGATATAAGTTATTTTTAACAAATTAGTAAAAAAATAATAATATTTACTAACTAAAAATATAAAAAAATAAAAATAAATAACAAAATAAATAAAAAGAAAAAATAATGGGGCAGCCGCCCCGCCCCGATCCCGATCCCGACTATGTCCCGCTTTAATCGGGTATGAGAATGAGACAAAGTAACAAAAATACTCGACGAAAAGAGGGTGAAAATAGCTTATCCGTCCCATACTCGCCCCGCTGCCATCATAGCATCAAATTGAGGGCAAATATATGGACCTACAGAATGGGACGAGAATCTAAAATAATCTCATATCTATAGAACTGTTTGCCTCAAAAGTGAACTATGAAGTTAATTAGATCGAATTAATTGTTAGGTTTCTACAATTCATCTTTGCTATTAGGGAAATAAGTTCGAACATGATCGAAATCCTCCCATTGTTGGAATATTTTCTAACCATGTCAATTTTTGACATTGTAGGATGGCTAAAAGAGTTTACAAGAGTCGTGGAATTATCTAAGGGTTGTTTAGAATGTTGGAGGAAGGAGCATGAGTCGAGGCCTGCATGGACTCAGAGACTATCGCCAAAGCTAGTGAGTGACCTGGGCATATTCATGAATGCCCGAAGGTGGCCACCCCATATACGTTCAAGTTTTTTCACCTCCTTTCACATGGATTCGATTATGTAACAATAATTATGAATAGCTTTGGCCCTTGTGATGGTTTGTAACTCTTTGAAAGGGTGTGTTACACATCTGCCCATATGGCAAGCTACATTGTTGCCCGCTAGGAGAAGTGCCATATAGGCAATTTGCTAGGCCTTGTTTTATTATCTTCATAGGCGATGAATGACATATCTTTGCCTTTTCGATTAAAGCTTTTCAAGGCGATGATGGTACAACCCAATACCTCGTCAACAAATGCCTTCAAGGCAATTTGACTTTATAGAAACACCACCTCTATGCTCCGAGGTTATACAAAGGAACACAACCCTTAGTCACACATTATGAGCCTCAAGTATCATATGCAGTTGATGTTGATTCTGAAGCGCCTCATGCAAGCTTTAGTCTTATAGTATGGAGTCATGTGAGGAATGATGGATGAGACATATTCTACTGTAGTGGCTGAGATTCAAATCTCTTTTTGCTTAGGACATTATGTGAAGTCACAAATCTATAGATGCCAAGATGGATGTTACGACATCATGAAACTTGACTAGTGAGTTGTTGGGATGAAGCTATATGTCAAACATTTGAAAAGTCTCAAATCTACTTCTTTGCCTACAGAAAATCATGCACATTGACTTGATAAATGTAATTGCAATATTGGTAAATCTCTCTACAATTCAAACCAAATTCTTATATTTCTTTTCCCTTTTGCGTCATTCTCGCACTCAATATTTTTCCAACTATTTATTTTGACTAGCTTGAGTGTTTGAGCATATAATTTCACCATTCCCCAACCTTTTTTGTGTTTGGAAAAGCTCTGCTTTCGCTCATCTAACGCGTGCATACCAAGTGTTCATGTAACATATGCTTAAAGAGGAGTAAAGACGAGGTCTATCGACACACTTTAACAACAAGTGAATCTTTTAAGTAAAAAGCCTACCTATTTTGCAAGAGACTTGATACTTTTTCTTGAAAAAATGATTAGTGGAAGCAATGAAGAAATTAACCCAAAAAAATTTATATCATTGTGTCCTTGAAGAAATGAAAGAGATTTTTTTGGTCTTCCTTAAGGTTATTTTCTTGAAAAAAAAAAAAGTAACTTTCTTTGGCCTCTTCTCAGACCTTTTTGGAAAAAAAAAAAAAAATGGTTTTCAAGTCTCTAATTAAAGCATTGTCCTTGAAGAAACGAGAGATGAGTTCTCTGACCTCTTTTAATGTTCTCTTCTTGAAAAGGAAGCATCTTTACCTAGCCTCTACTCATGCCTATTTCTTTAAAAGGAAATAAAGTTTTCATTTATGGCCTTGCTCTTGAGAAAGAAGAAAGTATTTTTCTAGTCTCCTCCTTAGGCCTTGCCCTTGAAAAGAGAAGATTTTCTAGCCTCTTAAAGAATTGCTAATGAGAAGGGAGCAACGTGGGTGAAAATGGTGACATCGACTCATGAAAAGCTCCATCTGAAGACATCCAGAAATGGCACAAATGATGAGGCTATCGAGGCCATAGACCACTTAGCAAGATATTAGCTAACTTGACTCCAAATGTGAGGTAGTTGACTAGTCAATGCTGCCTTACAAGCCTCTCTCCTAGAGATGCAAGCCCAATGAGGAATATTGATGTCCTCGATTGTCCCTCTCCACCCCTTCCAATGGCCTTAGGAAGAACAATCGAAGGAAGAGGGATAAATCGGTCCCTCCTTCATATAGATAAATGTAGATAATTGTTGGAATTTGGTTTAGAGAATAAAAATAAATTTAGTATGGAAAAGTCGTGTCAACTTTGATCAAATATTTGAACTTGATCCAATATTCAAATTATGAATATAAATAAACTTATTTGTTCTACTTGTCGAGTAAATCGTCGTGGTATATTTGGAATCTCAAAATCAATTCCGGATGAATAAGAAATTGTAATCCAAACTTGAATAGAAAATAGGAAATACAGGCTGGTAAAATGGCTAACTCCATAGTTCGCCTATCGCTCGAGGGACAATCTAATGACAGGCGAGCGAGAGAGGCTATGATGAAAAGGTGTTATTGTCGCTCGAGCGAGAGGCCAGCGAGAGGCTAGCCATAGCAAAGGACATTTCCCTTCATGAAGGTTGCTAAGTTGTGGGCGTGACATTTTACTCACAACCCTTATTCTTCTATGTATAGGACACTTTGGACATCCATTATGCATCCCATTTCATTTTGCATTGACCATTACATCAAAACTCTTGCAAAATACTCTCCAAAGTCATTCCAAAACCATTTTCTTGTAGCGAGAAAATTATCGTTCCAATTTCGTTGTTGTATATGGATTGAAGTGCTTCTACCACAAATTGTATCCGTTGTATCTTGGAAGATAATTGCTATATTCCATTAGCATTGTTGCGGGACAATATTGTTTTAAGGAACAAGTATTTTCACTTGTCTCGGATTTTAATCTTCGCTTTATATTCTTTTTCCTTACTTTCTATCTTTCCTTTTTCCTAGAATTTAATTACGCTCCTGTAAATTAAATATTTTCTATCTAAACAATCATTTATATGTACTAACGATCCAATGATCTTAAGACAATACCACTTGTTTGTGTTTGTTCTTGGACATCCTTTCTTCATCTTTGGAATAAGTATTTGTGTGTTATTCCTTTCTTTCATTATTTTGTACGTTGAACTTCTATTTATAACAGAAATGAATCATGTTGAGATTACTTTAAGTCAAATAACAAATGGTACGAACTATGTAGCTCCGCCTTTGGTCATACCTATATCAAACTCTCACATATCACATGGGAAAAAATCGAAAAAGTTTGCAAGTGTGGATTTTAAAAGATGGTAACAAAATATGTTGTTTTATCTTACTATTTTGAATTTTGTAAAAGTCATAAAAGAATATGCTCCTACAGGAAGAAGAAAATAATCGTGAGTCGATTATTACATTGAATGCATGGAAGTATTCTGATTTCCTTTTCAAAAATTACATTTTAAATGGATTGGACAATACACTTTATAAAGTGTATAGTTTATTGGACTCGACCAAGGATCTATGGGATTCGTTGAGAAAGAAGTACAAGACCGAGAATGCTGGAACAAAGAAATTCATTGTTGGCAAGTTTTTGTACTCCAAAACCATGATAAGTCAAGTACAAGAACTTTTAGTTCTACTTCATGACACATATGCTGAAAATATGGAATTGAGTGAGTCATTTCAAGTTGCAGCCATCATTGAGAAACTCTCTCCTATGAGGATAGATTTCAAAAACTATCCAAGCAAAAACATGAGGAGATAAATTTGGAAGAATTGATAGTTCGTTTGAAAATCGAGGAAGACAATAGAAACACCGAAAGGAAATCTATTATTCAACTTCGAGCAAAGTTTGTTGAAATTGGTTCGAAGTTTGTCAACAAGAAACGTAAGATCTCCGGTATTGTACCAAAAATAGACAACTCTAAGAATGCCAAGAAGTTTAAAGGCAACTGTTACAATTGTGGAAAAGTGGAGCATCGATCTAATGAATGTTGAAGGTGATAACCTAAGAATAACTAACCAAGAGGAAGGTGAATTGATTTTTAAAATTTTTTTGACACTTAGTCTCAAAACAATATAATACATAAGATATAAATGCAAAGTATAATACTAGAATTAAATATGTAAGTTTGATAACTTAATTCAAGTATAGAT